AGGGAGAAGCAGGCTTCCCGTGGAGCAGGGAGCCTGATACGGAGCTTGATCCCAGGACCCTGGGATCATGACCTGAGCCGAAGGCAGACGTTTAACAACTGAGCCACCCAGGCGCCCCTCTTTTAAAATTTTTGAAACAAATGTGACACGTTCACCTTCGTTCTCTGTGATGAGTGGTGGGGTGGGTGTTTTATCAGACTCTGTACTATTTTTTCCCCCTAATATTTTTGGAAAAGTCCCTGTTACCAGAGTTTGTTGTGAGACAAACTTCCTTCTTCATCAGATTGTACATTCTTGGCAAAGTTATATCTTCATTCCTGTCTGTATTCCAGGGGCCAGCACAGGGTCCACTGGATGGAAGTAATGACTGATGGAGGAGAAAATAGTAGCCTTAAGGCTTTTCTGAAAAACTGCCATTTGGGGCTCTCTCCAGTTCCTAGTCCCTTCCTTGCCTGGCAAGCGTCTTCTCTTCCCTGGGTGAATTTAAGAAACATCGGGACAATGGGCAAGTGTGGTAAGGAGCCAATGCTGTTATCATATTCCAGCCTCATACACAGGGCGAGCACTGCCAGCGCCCCACGGATGGAGAGATGTTTCATGAAACACCAGGGAGTGGATGACGGCTTACCCCACTTGATGCATTGCCACTCTGGGGCTGAAACACAATCTACAAAATTGCTGCATTCAAAGAACTCCTAGAAATAGCATGATAATATTGCACAGCAGAATTTTTTTTTGTTCAAGGAATGGAATTCAGGGTGGTCACTGGAAGGAGCTCTGCATGTCTTGACAATTATCCTTCTCAAATCCCTTTTCCTGTATATATTATATGTCAATTGCCCTAAAATTGAGTTATGTTTTCACCAAAATTATACATTTGTGAATATTCCAGCTGTAGGGCACTTCTTATGGGAAGGAAGCCTTCATTAGCCCAGCCCTTGTCACTGGGCTGACAGCAATCCTGCCTCCATAAGAGGTTTCCATGCCTCATACTGATTCATCGGAGTTCCTTCCTGTTATTTAGACAATTATTTAAAATGCTGAAAACGGCAGTGCAGAAAGAGGATCCCTAAGGAGGGAATGAGGAGAGGGGAAGGGAAAATTGCAAAGGACCACGATTTCTTAATTCAAGAGTTCATTTTTCAGGTGTATACTGATTTTAAAGAGGTATAATCCTTCTACACCATCACACACACACACACACACACACACACACACACGCACACATCTCCAGACTCAGCTCAGAGATAATCCCTGAACTGTAGCAGATTCAAAGTCCTAAACCTTCCAGAGACATTTGAGAGTGACGTGTTACTCTGCTGATAATAAACCCAACCTAGTCTGCTGACTGTAAGTTCTGATGACCAAAACCACTTCACTGGTCATTTTGACAGTCATTCAATAATCACCGGGAGCCAGGCACTGTGCTACTCTCCAAGCATCACCTCATTTAATACTGAGGTCAATCCACAAAACATTGGTTCTCTGTGCACGATCCCCAGACCAGCAATATCAGCATCACCCAGGAACTTGCTGGAATTACAAGTTCTGGGGGCCTGCCCCCGGGGCGACTGGATTACAGACTCTTGAGTGTGAAACCCAGCCACCTGTGGTTTAACAAATCACCCTCCAGGTGATTCTGATGCATGTTCAAGTTTGCGCAGTGCCACCTAGAGAGAGTAATGCTATTATCATCACTCTACAGTAAACCACCAAGGCCTAGAAAGGTAAAGTGACGGGCCAAGGCCTACAGGAAGTGGACAAGACAAGATCTGAGCCCTGACAAATCTACCTTCGGAGCCCCGTCCCTTCATCACAGAGCTATGCTGCTCGTTATCTGAGAAAGGAGTGTGGATTCAATCACCAAACATCAGGCAAAAGCATGCAAAGTGGGTGCAGGACTGATCATTCTATATGTCAACAGCTGAGCCACAATGATGAGCCATAAAGAACAATAACATTTCTCAGAAACATAAAACTTAAATGCCCACCAAGATGGGAGTAGTTAAATACATTAGGATACATCCATACGATGGACTATAATGCTGCTTTAAAAGTGGTATTTGCCAAGATTTCCAATGATCTACAAAAACAGGACAAAAGAAGGGAAGAAATTCAGATACACATTCAAACAGAGGATGGAAGCCCCAGCGTGGGCAGTCTTCCCAAAGTGTAACATGTTGGTGAGGATGTGGGAAATCTAGTGACCTCACAAGTGGCTTGTGTGAATACAAATTGGGATAGTTCCTTGGTAGGACAATTTGGCAACAGATACTTCAATTTTTAAATGCACGTGCTCTGTGACCCCAAACTTCTACTTCTTAGAATCCACCCTGGAGAAACACGGGCTCTGTGTGCACAGAGAGACATGTGGGATGATGATCACTGCAGCTTCATTTCTAATGGGAAAAAATCTGAAACAACCTAGATTTCTATCATTATGGAGACTGGATAAATAAATCACGGTATATCCCTATTGAGAAATGCAATGCGTAGGTTGCAACACACATACACACACACACACACACACACCTATGTATATCTACACATACATACATATCTACATTCCTTCCTACATAAGTCTGTGTATATGTATGTATACATACATATACACATCTGTGTACGTACATCCATACATGTGTATATTATCTGCATATAAAATCCATATATATCCATATATATATACACACAGGCACACTTGAGATATAGCTATAGATAGAATATGGATAGAGAAATACATAGCTGGATACATAGACAGGTCTCGAGAGTAGGTTTCCAAGGTATATCACTGAGTAAAAAAAAAAAGTTGCAGAAAACAAAGTATGATGTAAGTTATAAACGAAAGAGGAGTCCAGGGGAAGAGAGGAGAGGAGAGTCAATCAGAGAAAATCCCATAAGCACACACACAACATTCTCTACTTGCAGGGCACGTTTTCAGCAGGGAGTATGTATGTATTGCTCTGAGTTTTTGAACAACCAACCAACCAACCAACCAAAGAAAACTCTGGTCCCATTTTGGGAGACAAGCAAAGATTGCCCTCTTACTGGTGCAGAGTGTGAGGGGGGGCCTCCAGCTTCTCCGTCTGCCCATAGCAGCTGGCCTTGGCCTCGGGGATGTAGGAGAACTTCTCCAACATGGAATATGCAGCAGTGGTGAGGATGCCCAGGCCATCCCTCACCCTTTCCTCCAGGCTGTAGTCCCAGTCGTCGTAGGAGACTGAAATGAGTCCTGATGGAAACTCCTTTGGGATGAGCTCTGTGTTCCCAGAAACCAAGCTGGGGATGATCCAGAAGAAATCATAGCCAGTGAGGCCCAGGGAGCGGGCCTCACTCAGGATGAGGACAGCCTCATCTTTGGAACAGTAGAGCAGGATGACGGAAGAGTGGATCTTCTTTAACTGGACCTGCGTCTTTGCATCCTCAAAGGAAGTGTCCAAGGTGATCACGTTCTGCATGTCCCAGCCCACAAAGCTGTTGTCCACGGTGGTCTTGATGAAGCTGATGAAGTCTCTGTACCCAGGGAAGATGGTGGTCACCAGGGAGAAGACGTGCCAGTCATAATCCTGCATGATCTTCAGCATGACTGTGGCTTGTTGCTGGATGGACGCTCCAAACTGGAAGAAGGTTGACGTCGGATCCTGCCAACAGGTGTAAAAAAAAAAAAAAAAAAAAAAAAAAAATCAAAACAGAGGATGAGGTAGAAGGCGGTTTACATATAACCATCTGTCTTTATAGGCTTAAAAAATGCCTTCTTAGAAGGGAGGGCAAATACATCACACACCTATTCATTCGAGAACATTCCTGAGCACCTACTATATGCCACACTCTGGAACAGACACTGGAAATACAGAGAGGAGAGAGACCCTGAACTTGGAGCCCACAGCCTGGCGCATGAAGGAGATCTATTATTTCTGCTTCTGACTTATCCCATTTCCCCCCTGCCCTTTGGGGCCCATATGTTTCAACACAATGAACTCTATCTGGCCCCAGGCTCAGAACTGGAAAATGAAGCCAACAGAGACAACATCAGGACATAGAGACAGAGTCCTGATGATGCACTTGAAGCACCCAGAGTCTGCCGTGCCTGAAGCCATTTACTCTGGACCTGTTGGTTATGTAAGCCAACAGGTTCCCATGATCGCTTGAGTTAGTCTGAAAAGGATTTCTGTCACTCGACTCTAGACTCCTGTATAATATAAACTATAATAAATGCTAACTGGACATTCTATCTGAATCAACAAATATTTGTTGAACCCCTAACTATGCAGGAACACCATTTTAGGACTTGGAGAAACAATGATAAACAAGACAGACACAGACATGGTCTCTGCCTCCGTAGATCTGGTGGGAATTTGAGGAAGAGCAATTTGCAGGGACTAGAGGCTGAGAGAAGCATAAGGGGACGCTGAAGGAGTGTCCGGGTGAGGAAGAAGGGAGACGGGTGGACATTATCCTCACAGGAGTCCTGCAGATACATCTAGACTATTCTAGGAGCCAGAGATAAATGTATTATGGCTCATGAAGTGGGGGGATGAGATGATGGCAAAGAGCTTGGCAGGAACCCCATCATGTGTGGCCTCAGGGATATGTTCAGAGGCTTAGAACTTATTCAAGCATAAGGGGGAGCCGCTGAATGCTCTTACTCTTGAAAGTGACATGACAACTTGTGTTGGGTTAAAGGGCCTCTAATAGTTGTTTTTTTTTTTTTAAAGAGTTTATTTATTTGAGAGAGAGTGGGAGAGAGAGAGAGAACACAAGCAGGGAGGAGGGGCAGATGGAGAGGGAGAAGCAGACCTCCTGGCTGAGCAGGGAGTCTAACGTAGGGCTCGATCCCAGAGCCCTGAGATCATGACCTGAGCCAAAGGCAGACGCTTAACTGACTGAGCCACCCAGGTGCCCCAAGGGCCTCTAATAGTTCTAACACCCCCCCTTAGTCACGATCTGATCATGAGAACAAACTTCCATTCAGAAAAGGCAGGCAGTGCATACAGCTGTACCATTTACAAACTACCTTCACACCCCTTAACTCATAAAATCCCCATGATGATCCTACAAAGGTGGTGGTGTTGGCGGGGGGGAAATGAGGCTCGAGATGAACTCAGGCTCTGGTTCCGTGGCCAGCCCCCTTTCCAAAACACAGCCCCAACTTTCTTGGGATCATTGAAGATCTGCAGATAGCAGGTGCTTAAACCATGCTGCTGACTGATAGGCAAGGTGCAAAAATGCCAGCTAAAGAGAAGGTGTGCCTGTGTGTTAGAGCAAAACACAATTTGACAAGTGCTGAGTTATGGTTTTCTTTCCCTGGAAACTAAAAGAATTCTCCAGAAGTCGTTATAGTGCAGCCATGCTTTCATTTTGCATTCTGTAGTTACCATATGCATTCACCTCAATAGTAGGAATACGGAGGTTCCATTGTGTGTGTGTGTGTGTGTGTGTGTGTGTATTAAGAGTGGACGATCAATTCCATTTGTCTTTCAAAACAACACTTTGTAGCCGTGCATGCCAACCCTTTCAAGAAGTCTGCCAAGTTTTGCCTGTGGGTGCTCAGTGAATAGAAAGTTTTATCTGAATGAGCCAAAAGTTGTAGTTCTTCGAAATACTTCCCTTTTTGAAATGCATGGGTTTGGGGGATAATTCAAGTGCAGTACGGCCTGAAGGCAGAGAGGGAACAAAAAAACGGGAATAAATGCCTCTGGGTTCCTTCCAACAATACAGTTTTATGAATTTTACCTAATTAAATCAATTAAAGTGGGTAACAGATTTAAAGACTTTGGATAATTATCTTTTTCCCTACAATAGCTTTTGGAGAAATCCAATATTCTTGGATTGATTAATCATTTTAAATCATGCCTCAACAAGACTATGAATGGCTCAAGGGCAGAGATATTGCTGTCTTCATCTCTCTGTCCCCAGAACTGGGCAGAAGGCTTGGAACATGACACATCAGGAAATGCAGGGGGAGGGAACGCATGAGTAAATGAATGTGTGAATGAAGTCTAAGAGGAATATCCTTGGCTTAAACATAAAGCAAAACAGAAGAATTCAGTGTCTGAGATTGTATTTTTTTTTATGGCTCTTGAATGTCATGTCCAGAAAATAAAATCTTTCAACATCACCAACCTACCACTCCTCCATCCAATGTCTGAAATAGAGAGAGAGTGACCTTTCTTGATCAGAAAAGGAATATAGAGGTCCTCTAAGCCTCAACAGCTGTGCATGCAACCTCATTAAATACCAAAAACAGCGACAACATAACAAACCCACCAATGGACGAAGGCACAGAAGTCAAATTTCAAGGCAATTATACCCAACAACCTTATGCACTGCCAGGTGTTTCTTGGGATGGGACTGAGAAGCTCCAAACTTAATTACCAAGGAAATGTAATAATTCCCATGGAGCAAAGATGCCTCCAAGGAAGCTGCTGATCAGAGTCACATTAGGACTGCAAAAGGCAAAGGGATCAGCATCTTCTTGCACTGAGCACACAAGGAATGGAGAAAGATCTCAGGAGGGCAGATGCTAAGGGCACGGTCGGAACCCAATAAAAAGGATCTCTGAGATGATCCATATGTACACACTTCCTAGGGATAATCGGAATTAGTGGAGAGGTGCTAGCTGGGGGCGGGGGGGGCGGTGTCTGGGATGCTCCCGCACCCCTGCTCCACATGCTATGAGCCAGACGTTACTGTATTCACGAGCGGCTTTGTGCATAGAGCAGAGCAGCAAGCAAGTGCAGGCTTATCTAACTCTCCATGTGGGGAGGAGGGCATGGATGCATTGTGAACTTCGTGAAAGAGAATTATAGGGACGGCAGTTCATTAGCCAAGAGCTCGCTTGGCACAGCCGTCTGTGTAAAAATATGTGCAAGCTCCTTGCCTGTGCCATTCCCACTCCCTGGTCTTGTGGTGCTTTAGTCCAGGCCGAATCTCTTCTATTACTCTCTTCTGATCCCCATTAGGGTCTTCTCCCCAGGATGGACAACAGTGTAACTTCTGGGGTCATGCTGTCCAGGTACCAATCCTAACTGGGTGACCTTGGGAAAAAAACCACTTCACGTTTCCAAGACTCAGTTTCCACATCTGTACAATGGGTATGGCAATGTCAATAATTATACTAGTTAACATGCCTATGAGAGTTGTGTGGCTCAACGCTTTCAGTGTAGTATCTCATTTAATCCTACCCCCAACCACCTTCCTAAATGGGTGCTAGCATGATCCCTGTCATACAAATGAAGAAACAGACTCAAAGGTAGAGTGACTCTTCCAGGGTCATAAAGGCAGGGAATCAGGTTTGCCTGCCTTCGAGATTCCAAGCTTTTCAGTCCTGCACTATACTGTTGGTGATGATCGCACTTTCTTGTTGAGCTGGAAGGATTCAATGACCTCCTTGTAGAAAAGCATCTGGGGCAGTATCCATCAAATATCAAGTACTCAACAAATCGACATCACTGTTATTTTCCCCGTGGGTCAGGGGTAATTCCCACTCTGGACTTGAGCATCCCAACAATTCAGCCATGTCATGACTGCCTGATGGAAGTTCCTGGTTGAACACTGCTTTAACCATGCCACTCCTCTCCTCTATGGTCATCAATGGCTCCCCTAGACAATCACCTTAAGTAGAGACTCTCCAGCCTACCCCTTTATGCACACCAGTCACTTTATAGTTGAAACACTGTGGGCTCTGGGGTCTCTCGGACTTGAGTTCAAGTTGTGGCTCTGCAAGAACTAACCACGTGACCGTGGTTAAATTCTGAAACTTTCTGCATCTGAGTTTCTTTGCCTATAAAGTGGGCATAATAAGCACCATCCCAGGGTGGGAGGAGCCAGGAAGAGCTGAAGTAGGATGACAGGCTCATCTATTATCTATGCCTGACTCCCAACAGTCCAGGGACGTCTCTCCATGTCCCTCAGTCCTCTAGACAACATGGACAGAGCCAGAAGCCCAAGGGGATCCTGATCCTAGTTCAGAAACCGGTATGTCCAGATCTCCTGACATGCCAGCATCACACTGCCCCTCCGCTCCGCAAACCAGCCCACTCACTCTGAGCCCAAGGAGGCCACACGAAGAGAAGGAACTGTCTTTCTTCCCAGTGATGAATCATGCTTTGGAGAGAAACCATCTCTCATGTCCTTCATGGACCTCCCACAGTTACCCTGCACCACTATCATTTCCACTGGCATCTGAAACTTCCAAACCCATTACGGACCCAAGGCTCTGTCTACCTTACGGAGGGATGGAAGTGAGAAGGTATTTGCAAAACGTAACTGCCCAGCGAGACAGTGAAGAGGCTCATGTTTAGCCCTGGATTTTTCAAAGATATTTTTACAGACTGGCAGGAGGTGATGGAGGAATTTGGCCACACTCCCAGGGCCTGGCATCTGATATGCCACATGGCCCTCTTTTCAAGGCCCTGAACATTCTTCCCGCTTCCTACCTGAGTAGCAGAGGCTGTTTCTCCTGCACTCACCACCTCCTGCCATCCCTCAGCCTGTCCTTTTCAGATTCTATAGAGCAGTCTCTGACCACCTCTGGCACTGGCTTCCTCGGCAGTGTGCAGCCGGGGGAGAGGAACAGATTTCAGACACCCACTTGGGTTCTGAAGCAAGAGCAGTTCTCTCCCCAGGCTCACTGCTCTGCTGAAGACAGAACAAACTGTTTTAAACACAGAGTGAGGGAGGCAGGGGCTATGGGATTCTGGGTGTCTTCTCTCCACTCTGCATTTTGGTCCCATCTTAAACCGAGGTCTCATTAGATGAGAGTTCCTCATCTCATGTTCTAGAATGTTCCAGAGCTTGCTGAGCACTCAGGGTGAGACCTGACCCCGGTGGGTATCAAGGCATGATGTTTAATAGAGTCTAATACCAACTTTCATTTCATTTACCCATTCACAAAGGCTATAACGGACACTCATACCCATCAGCTCTTCGATTCTAACTACCCAAGGGATGAGGTATCGCAAGTGGCTATAACCCTCATGGATGGCATTTCTCATAAAGTCACAGGAAAAGAGGTTAAGTGATTTCCCTAAAATCCACAAGGCCCCATGCTGACAACAACTTTATTACAAGATGCAAGATGTCATCCAATGTTCCCTCGTGCACACTGGTGGCTCTCATTTCTGGCTGCAGAGGAGAATCACTTGAGGGTTTAAAAAAAAAAAAAAGCCACTGCTTGTGCCCCATGCCAGTGAATTTCTGTGATCTGAGTACCTGGGCTCCAATGCTGATTTATTCGTTTTTCTCAGTCTCTTCTCAACAGCGGCATAAGTATTATTCAAGTTAGTATTGTCAGAGCGTAGCACAATGTCTGACATACAGCAGGGGTTCAATATATATTTGGTGAGGAAATAAATGAGCAGGAAGATCCTCCCTAGGAAGCATTGAGAGAACTGGTCACTGTTGTCAACCCTGCACCCATTTCCATAGCTTATTTTCCTTCTGCCTGCCTGGGTGGGTACCAAAAAAAAGATAATGATGCAGGTGACCCAGCAAAAATCGAGAGGGACTCCTTGGGATTTTTCTTTCTCTTGTGGGAGGACTGTCCTGGTGAGACTTGGTGTTTCTGCCACTCTTATTGTGTGATAACTGAGCTTTTAAATATATTTTATTTCTGCTTCCATGGATGAGAGGAAAACTAAAGGCACCAAACTTGATAAGCCTGAGAATTTAGAAGAATAGCATTCTCACATACATATAAGCTAACTCTGTCCCAGTGAAGGATCTCTATCTCATCATCAGCCATTCTCCTCCTCCTCCTCCATCACCACCATCATCATCATCCACCATCATATCATCTACCACCATCATCATCCACAACCATCATTATCTACCATCACCACCATCATCATCATCCACCACCACCATCTACCATCATCATTCACCATCATCGTTCACCATCACCATCATCATAATCATTATCATTATCCACCACCCTCATCATCATCCACCATCACCATCATCACCTACCATCATTCATCATCTACCATCATCATCATCCACCATCACCATCATCATCATTATCCACCACCA